CTCTCTCTCTCTCTCTCTCTCTCTCTCTCTCTCTCTCTCTCTCTTTCTCTCTCTCTCTCTCACTCGCTCACTCACTCGTTCGCTCTCTCCCTCCCTCTGGGAATATTCTTGACTGAGGGCAAGGAAAATAAATCAAGACACCATGCAAATCATCACTTGATAGATCAAGTACATAATCAACTGCACCATGACATTCATGTTCTGTTGACTCCTGTGATCATGAGGTCCGTCCCAGAGGAAAGTCTCACTGTTTTGTAAAAATCAATAATTTCTTTTCTACTTTTACAGACATGAAATTTTGTAACATACCGACAGAAACATATGTGAGGCAGCGTGGTGAAATCAGGCGCTCGTCAAAATAATGAAAGTCAAGACACTTGCATTTTTCCGCAGGTTGGGGAATTTTTGTTTTTTAGCTCAACACCTTTCATGCCCTTTAAAGAACACATTTCTGTGTGAATTTTACTGAAAAATGTTGATTAAAGTTTAAAGACGTAAAAGATGTAAATTTTAGTTTCCACAGACTCTCAAGTTAAAGAAGTAAATCAACTTTGGTGGCCATTTCTCGCTAATTTTACCTTCTGAAACCAGGCGACCCCCACCTCCTTCAATCGCCAATATCTTGACTTGTATCCAAGATAAATGGATATTTTAGTTCATCAAAAGCAAGGCAAATGGACAGGCTTTAAGATGATATCAATAACCTCATATGCCCCAAATGACAAGGGCCTGATTCCACTGCATTGTGACACATATGTACTATTCATTCAACATAACAGTACAGCCATTAATCTCAAACTGATGTAGCCAGGGGTCAAACACAGTGACCATGTCTGCTTGGAACAGAGTCCTAAGAGCAGCATTTGTTTCGAGCAGTTTCAAATGTCTTCAAATAGCAGCCCCCTCAGTCCTTCTTTGATTTTGAGGAAGAAATGAAAGTCACTCGGTGCTAAGGCTAGTGGAGATTTTCAATGATTTCACACTGTCAGGAGTCCAGGCGATCAGTGACCTTTCGAGCAGTGTGCACAGGCATGATGGAAGCCAACACCTTGCTCAAGCAGATCTTTAGTTTAATTTTAGTTATTTTTTAGTAAGAGTTTTACGGCGCTTGCAACTGCATAAGAAGATCTGACTTTATTCTGTACCCAGTGGACAAAACCATGTGTGCAGGGCATTTGAACTTCCTTTTACTCATCAGTCAGCAGATGAGAAATTCATTTGGTGAAGACTTTTTTTTCTTAAGATCTTCCGTGAGAATTCTATGAACTATCATCTTTGGCAAAACAACTTTCTCTGCTCTGATTTAATCTTTCAGTTTTTCGCCTGTCTGCCTCGTGAGAAGCTTGAATCTGCAATATGTTTTGCTCAGAAACAGAACTGGGCCGTCAAGATCAGAACTGGGCACCACTGTGCACTCACTGTGTCGATGTCCTTCTCTTTACTCAACTTTAAAATGTTGCATTTAGTGGTGGGCAGCTCATTATTCAATATTGAGTTAGTTTTAAGCTTATTTTTTGCTACATATGTTTAAAATTGCGTGTTTCTCTTTGGTCAGGTACCTGGAGCTGCGCCAGTTTGGCACATGCCCTCATGGTGGTTTTGGCCTTGGTTTTGAGCGCCTGCTGCTGGGAATGCTGGGTGCTCAAAGTCTCAAAGATGTGATCCCGTTCCCCCGATGGCCAGGGCGATGTCGGACTTGATGATTTTTGATTGGACAATGTCTGACTAGATATGTGACTGAATAATGTTAGTTGGATGGGATATGATGGAAAGATGTCAAATGCGATGGGACGATGTCAGACTTGATGATATGTGATGGGATAATGTTAGACTTGATATGTGATGGGATGATGTCAAACACAATAGGATGTGATTTGACAGTAGGATGAGATGGATGATTTTGATTTATGGGATGTGATGGGATGACAGGATGTAATGGATAAAGTTGGACGTGATATGGGATGTGATGGATGATATTGGGTGTGTTGTGGGATGAGAAGGGAAGGTTGAACATAATGATATGGTCAGCCAGATGTGATGAGTCTAAGGAACTGGGATTGAACACCAAGCTGAGAATCTTCAAAACAAACGTGAAGACTGTCCTACTGTATGGTTCAGAGACATGGAGGCTCACAGCATCAGCAGCAAGGAAACTGCAGAGCTTCGTAAACAGATGCCTACGAAGGATAGTGGGGATCAAGTGGTACGATCGAGTCACTAATGCTCAACTGTGGGAAAGAACAAGCCAAAGGCCAGTAAAGGAAGACATACAGGTGAAGAAATGGAAATGGATTGGACACACTCTGAGGAGACCCCCGACAAGCATCATCAGGCAGGCTTTAACATGGAACCCACAAGGAAAACGTAAGAAGGAAAGACCAAAGATGACATGGAGGCGAGCGGTACAAGCAGAAATTGAAAAAGCGGGGACATCATGGAAACAGATAGAAAAGGATGCTCAGAACAGGCTTTGCTGGAGTAATGCTGTTGATGGCCTTGCTCCACTGGGAGTTAAAAAGGGAGAGAGAGAGAGATGTGATGAGTGATGAGACAATGTTGCACCTGACAAAGTGGGGTGAGAGAGTTGGGAGTCATTGATGACTGCTGTGTTATGCAGTAGATAGTTAAAAAGTTTGTGTGTCTGTATTTATACTTGTGTGCGAGTCTATATTATATTTGTTCATTTGTGTGTGTTTACATGGATATATGCCTGGGTTGTGTTGTTGTGTGTGTGTTAAAGTTGGAAGTATGTATGTCTGCTATAGGGAGTGGATCTGCCTGGAGTGATAAATTACATGAGTCTGTCGTGTGTGTGTGTGTACCGAGTGTGTGTGTGTCCATGTGTTTGTGCCGAGTATTATGACAATGAGTTCTGAAGCAAGTAGGCCTACATGTACATAACACTTTTGATATGAATGCAGTTTTTATCATTAAAATACATTGGCATGCTATTGAAGATGAGTGAACAGTTTTCTGTATAGATGATTTATGTAATACAGTGGAATTCTGTTATAACGAGAGGGAGGGGACCGGAGCAAAATGTCCGTTATAGCAGGATTTTCGCTATAAGGGATCCAGTAATAAATTCAAGGGAAACTGTAAAGTACGCTTAATCTATGAGTTTGGTGTTCTGTTTATTTCCTTTTGCTATCTCCCCTGATGATAATTTTGTTTCAACATAACCTCTAGGTCTTACTTGATCAAAAATTGAATCAGGTTTCTTTCTCTAGCGCTAGATCTAGCGATGTTGACAGCTCGGCATTGCCGATCAGAAAGAAAGGGCTCTGGGCTAACTCACCCGTTGTGTTGTCCCCCACCCCATCACACCCTGTGGTGCATTCCGTCAGCTCATTCGTTCCATCCATTACATTGCTGTGACCTCTCCACCCCTGCATCGGAGAAGTGAGAGGCATGGTAGGCCTTGATAATCTAAACTAGGCTTACGCTGGCCTATCACGCGATGCGTTCTGCTTGTCTACGCAAGCCACACCCTACCTACTCAGTCGCTCCGGCCTTCATTGTTGACATACATGGGCTCTCCCATTCTTTGTTTCGCTAGATCACCAACAAGTTTCTCAACTGGCGAGATTTTACATGATGTATAATTGGCCTATGCACTGTACACATCAGCAGCAATATTTTATTCCGCTATAACCGACTCACGTGTTTGTTTATTGCGCTATAGCAGTATTTTATTTACAAAGGTAAAGAAGAGAAAAAAACAGGGTTTTAGAATAGTGTCTTTATAATATAACAGACTTCTCGTTTTTTCCGGACTCGTTATTAGTGGACTCAACTGTATTTAAAGAAAAAGTTCTGTTTTTTTCGTTAGTATTTCAAAGAGAGCATATATAGTTTTCTTTCACAACTATCGCCAATTGAGACTCAGCGATAAAAAATTACATGAGGGAAAAACCTATTCCGTAAAGCAATGAAGCAAGATTCTTCAAAGTTTGGCAAGAAAGAAATACCAATGACCAGCATCTATGATGTAATTATTGGCTCTTCACTGTTGCACGAGTTCAATTCCCGAGTGAAAAAATAATATCATCAAACATCTCCATCAGCAGGGATGTTATGTCCCTCTCAACTTGGTTACCAGCATCTCTGGTGTAGACTTTAGGGACTTTGCCATCGCATTTCGATTTGATTTCCATGTGGGGAGAATTTCTATCAAGTATCTCTGTCTTGCTGCCAAGACTTTGTATTGTATTCCCTTTTCAGCCGGGGTTGGCCCTGACAAGTAGGGTCAATTCAGCCCACCTGAATGATCTAAATGGTGTTGATGAGGGCATTAAAATCTTCCATTACATTTACTATATCAAACCCAGTTGGCCGTAACAGACAGGGTAAAACTGCATATCTTCTAACTGATCTAAACTGTGTGGATGGTGAAGTAAAATGGTTAGAGTCAAAATGAAATATAAATGTACTGATACGGTGCATGCATGCTAGAGAGGGTATTAGGTTGAGACCAGTTGAAACTGCAGAGTATGATGGAAGTACAAGATCAGTAAGTTAGACCAGTAAGGAGCGGCATACCAGGATGGTATCCGGTCCTTATCAAACTTTCGACTTCTGTCTGACCAAATTTGTATCAGTTCACAAAAACCACACACACACACACACACACACACACACACACACACACACACACACACACATGGCTCAGAGAGGTGACCGTCACTGTAAGTGTAACTGAAAAAAGTCGCATACAAGAAATGACACAACTCACACAATCAAAAGTTGACACACATGACATGTATTTGATTTGTTTGCATTAAACATCATGAACACATCCCACACAGTCCTCTAACTTGGCTTGGCATATCATCGGTAACATTTCACAATATTGACAACATTGTAGACTCTAACTCTACCATAATGGTTTTCTATTCCATGTGTTTTTTAAGGGTTCGCCGAGTGTCAAAGTGTAGCTGACTGGATACTTTGCAAAGTGACGGTTAGGAAAACTGCAGTATCATCACTTTTGTCACAGGAGAAGGAGTGTTAAAATTCCTGAGGGACATTCAGTTCACAGACATTGAAGTTTAAATATCTTATTGACCGGGAAAAGCAATGCAATCAGTGTCAACATTTCTGGGTGACAGGGATGTACAGGCAATTCATTATTAACATTTCTACATCAAGTCACAAGCAATGTATTGTTAACATTTCTGGGTCATGTCACAACCACTTCATTGTTAACATTTCTGTGTGTGTTCAATCATAGGCAACACAATAGTAACATTTCTGCATGCATGATGAAACAGGCAATGCATTGTTAACATTTTTGTCCACTGTCAGACAGTTCAGTTTCTATATATGTGCTATCAAGGACAAATCAAGCAGAGCTGCCAACCTTACGCCAAAAAAGCACATTTGTAAGCTTTTTCAGCGATCATAAGATTTTACACAACTTTGCCGAATTGTACGTTTTTTTGCTCCATCCGATCGATTGTCAAAACATAATTTCACTCCGATTGCCGCCCCGATTCGCGACCGCCAGCGATCTAATCTATTATCAATAGGCCAGACCTGCCAACCTCTACCAGGAACAAATAGGATTTTTCATGGAAAAAAATCGGAGTCTGGAGAAAAAAATAAGAGCATCTAACTTAACATCCATATTCCCCGACTAAGTGTTTACTTTGTGGTATAACGAAAAAAAACCACATTCTTTTAAACTAAAGTGCTATGTAGGTCAACAGAAAGTTACTGTATGGATGTATCTCATACAGACAACATGGGTGTCCTTTGTGCAACCTAGAACGGCCCTCATAGCTGCATTCTGTACTCTCTCCAACCTGTCTATCCGAGTCTTGGACAGGGAGAGGATGCCCAGCCCATAGTCTATGACTGACAGAACCACCAGCTGCATTAGGAGAAAAAGAACTCTCTGTTGAATTCCCGCTGAAGCCAAGGTCTTCACTACATTGATGCCCTTCTGGGCCCTGACATCTGCAACAGATCTAGACAATGCTAACACCCCACCTAAACAACCACGTAAAACTGCGACTACAGCAGAGAAACGACTTAGCTATCTAAATCAAGTTACAGAAACTCAACAAAGTGTGTGTGAAGGTCAGCAGGAGGGGAACACCATCATTGAAATTCAGAACTTATGGGACCTTATTTCTGGGTTTCCATGCCCTGTGTGCAAAAACGACACTTATATTACTGCATCTGTGTGTGAAAGGAAAGGTCTTGCCGTGCAGTTGAGTATGTACTGCCGTGTGTGTGAGGTGGTGGTAAAGAAATGGTGGAGCTCCAGAAAGACATTTGTTCCAGGGACCAGTGACAACAGCAACAATAACAGTGCCGCCATTTCCAAGTAAATAGAGACGCTGTGTTTGTAGTGTGTCTTGTGGAATGGGTATTGTCTCTTTCGCAAACTTATGTGAGCAGCTCAACATATCTGCCCTGCACCACCCTTCGTTTCAACAACTCGCCAGTGCATATTATAGCCTTACACCGGAGTTGCAGAAACTTATATTTTTTTAATCTGCAGCTGTTGTCCGTGCAGAGTATATGAAAAGTGATCCGTCTCTTCAAGCAGATCAAATTATCGACGAAGCAGTCTCATACGACGGGTCATGGACGGCAACAAAACAGCAGCTGGAATGAAAAAGGCAATAATGGCTTCCATTTATCATGGGTTTTCAACGGATAAAAATTCCCAACACCAATTCTATCCGTCAGGAGCTAGGTCCTTGTGCTTTTATAAAATTTCAGCTCACGCTCAGCACAAACCACCTGGACCAAACATGAAGCTTGTCAAAACTCCTCTTGATGAGACTCGCTTTAGAAAGTTACTAATGCCTCTATATGAACGTCTCTCTAATGAGGATCTACTGAAGAGGTGTGAAATGCATGGCACACAAAATGCGAATGAGTGTCTTCACTCTGTTGTCTGGGCTCGTTGCCGAAAGGACCATTTCGCTTCCAAATCTCGAGCAGAACTTTCCCTCCTGCTTAGTGTAGGGGAGTTCAACTTTGGACCCCAATTTGACATTCAGATGAAGTATGTCTTTGGTGTCATCAGTTCTGTTCCAGCCAGGAAGCTGAAAGAATCGCTGGCAAAAAAACGACTTTGGAACGCTGAACGCGCTTCTAGGGATAAGGTCACAAATCAATGAGAAAAGGTGAGGGAAGCTAAAAGAAAAAGGACAGAGCTGCTGGAGGCTTTAGAAGGAGATCCTGCTTATGTTTCTGGACTTTTCTAGGACAGCAGGTAGTCAAATTTTCTAGTTTTTCATGTTTCCGATCTTTTTCCTCCATTTTCTTAAAACCTTTATTTTTCCAACTTTAAATTAGATCTCCTTCCTTATTTTACATCCAAATGACTTCGTTTTTTTCACACAAGATACTTCAATAAATACTCTTTGATGAAATAAGGCCCTTTATTAGGTTACTAATGTTAATCAGTTTTTTTGATAATTTTTGGTGAAAAAATTAGAGTATTTTGCTATTTATCCATAGGACTTATTTTTGGAGTCCATAATTGTTTTATAACCATAATATCAACATTCTGGCGTTATTTCAATATTGCATATATATAGTAGTTTTTGTCTGCTAATATGAAAGTAACTGGATGAATAATAAGCGAGAAGACAGCATTTGAAAATTGATGAAATCATCCAATATGGCGGATGTTTGCTTGGTTACTATGGTTACCGTGTGCCTAACATCATAAAGTGGAACTCGGATTAAACGAGCTCGGATTCAACGACTACTGGGATTCAATGAGATGAGACAGATTCCCCGTTTTTTCTTCTTTAAAATCAATAAAAGTAATCCGGATTCAACAAGGACTTAAATCAGCAAGCTCAGATTCAACGAGGTCGCTTCCAGGGTGAACAGCCCCCGCAGACATGGCTTCGCTCATTTTTCTCCCAGAACGAACTTTATCTGTTCCCGGAAACCATCCATTGCAACTGCATCGTGAACCATTATTCACTTAGCCGATTGCATGCGACCAATCAGCAGCCTTTTCAGTAATTTTTACATACCAACACATGTGTTGTTGGCACGCGCACATGTCTACTCTGGTGTGTGTCGGGGTCGGATGGGCGGCCTGCACACGTGTGGTTGTGTGTGCGTGTCGGGGGGGCGCACTAGCGGTCCGGGCATTGAACGTCGCATATATAAACGCGTCGCAGTCTTTTTTCCCCCTCGGCAACTGATCAATATTACAATAATCAGCTAGTCTTGACGTAGATCTACGTAATGAATTGTGCGCTGGTCTATGGAATCAAAAGTTGCCGTACGCTAGGCTCTACACGGCAACATAACTTTTTGGCAAACAATCGAGATGACACAGGCGAGTGCATTTGAACGAATCGGTCTTTTTTTTACACAGCTCAAAATACGCAAGACTTTCAGGCACTACTTGTGACTTCTCTTGTACATTACTTGCTCAGTGCCTGTAATTATCTACACAAAACCGCGTGTTTGCTATAACGAACACTCGGGTTCAATGAGATTTTAGGACAGGCCCTGCGACCTCGTTGAATCTGAGTTCCACTGTATTTAATTACAGAAAATTATTCTTTTTTAAGTCAGCAAAGTCAGCAACTGCCGCATCCCTCTCTAAGAAAACACAGCAGTAAAGTTTGGAAGGTCAGTTCTTTTAATTTTTGTGAGTTTTAATTGCGTGAGTTAAAATAGTGACATTTGTTATAATGTACACTTTTTTTTGTACAATCTTACACTTTTTTAAAGCTAAGATCTTACACTTTTGTGGCCGGTGGGGTTGGCAGCTCTGAATGAAGAGACAAATCAAGGACAATTCTGAGACAAATAAATGTAGATGTACGTGTGCCCTAGTCCTGTCACAAGCAATGATTTGACAAAGGACCTCTCCCACTGTCACAACAGATGCTGCCTGCCACACACGATGAGATCAACAAAGACTTTGCTACATTCCTATAACCCCAAAATATTCTCTCCTCTCCTTCTCAAGCACATCTTAGCTGTAAAACTGGTAGGTCTCCTCCAAGCAACACGCTCAACATTACAGAGACTAGATGAAGTCATTCAGTTAAACACATACTGTCGCGCAGGTACACAACAACTATCACTCAAGTACACACATACTGTCACACAAGTGCACACATACTGTCACACAGGTACACTCATACTGTCATACAAGTACACACATACTGTTACTAGTGTTACACAAGAACACACATACTGTCACACAAGTACACACATACTGTCACAAGTACACACATACTGTCACACAGGTACACACTTACTGTCATACAAGTACACACATACTGTTACACAAGTAAACACATACTGTCACACAAGTACACACATACAGTCATACAAGTACACACATACTGTTACACAAGTACACACATACTGTCACACAAGTACACACATACTGTCACACAGGCACAAGCATAGCGTCACACAAGTAAACACATCTAATGTTACACAATCACACATAGGCCTACATACTGTAACACACTAATAAACATACTGTAACACAGTTACACACTTTCTGTCACACACACAAACTACATTATTATTAGGTACCACAAACGGTGCGCCGATCGCGACAAGTCGAGTTCTTCCCGAGGAGGAAAACTGTCGTAGTGATCAACTTCACAAACATAGCTTTTCACTCATGATTGCTTGATTTTAATGAAATAAAAACCTTTTTCAAGAGCTTGTTTTGTTCGAATATGTGTGTTGTTCGTGGATAGATTGGACGTGTGGAAATATGTTTAATATAGCTCTAAAATTTGGGAAAATGACGCATTTTGCGTCCGACCGGCGCTTGCATCGAAACCTAGCCAGAGCCACTCTTTTTCCTTCAGAAACTGCTCGGTCGCAATAGTGTGTACAGAAATAACTGCTGCATTATTAGAAAGGTCAAAAGCTGACCTTTATCCCCATACTAGGCAGGCCAGGATTTTTCTGACAAAATGGGTAAAATTTGAAGTGGAAAGACAATGTTGTGAGAAGTTTCGATAAAATCTCAGTATTCTGAACATTTTTTTAGATGTGCTTTACACGTAAAGCTAGTTCACAATATATTTGTTTTATTCAAGCAAGTACTGTTAAACTATTTGTTATCATGGTACCGCTATTGCGCTTCAAACTGTGGATGCGTGTGTCGGGGAAACTCGCTTTCTGTTACAATGGCTGAAGAGGCAGCTGTCGAGGCACTCGGCATACCGACCGGCAAGCGTACGGATTACGATGGGAATACACGTAACAACAACTAATCTGCCAACCAACAGTGTGATTTGTTCAATCTCATTGATAAGTAGTTCAACGTTTTAGTTGTTTAAGATAGATCATGCTTCAGGTTTTTCCGAGAAAAAAATTGTATTAGTACTTAAGCTACTGGTCATTTCACGGGAGTCAATACACACTGACGGAACAGCCAAATGATCTAGATCTCTATCCATCGGAACAGAAAGTAGTAGTGTTGTTTCTGGTTTCGCACATTTTCAACTTTATCTTTTTTTAAATTTTAGTTTTTTTAACCTCAATGCAACTACTTTTCATAACAAGTTGACCAAAGGTGTTTTTTATTCATAAAAATATGAACCATAAATGTATTATGTATGGCTTGGGCCTAGATCTGATCCTATGTCGTTCTGTCAAAATTCTTGGGCTATAACTACGGCTACGGCATTGCAGACTACTTCTTTACTTTTAAATTCTATGTGTTCACCCTCTGTTGCGTTACCGTTAAGCGTCAAGGGGTTCTGTTACAATAATCAAGAATAATGACAGTTCTACTTTGTCCTCCCCAACCTAGAAAATATGTTAAAATAAATTTAATACGGAATATATAGTCTTGTTCTGGTATTCTTAAAAAAAAATTTTCACTTGTGGTACCTATTATTATAATTATAAAATGATATAAATAACAAACACACACATACACAGCTAAACACATACTGTAACACCAGTACACATACTAAACTATAAAACGATTATAAATAACAAACGCACTCACACATGGCTAGACACATATGTTGTGAACGACAAGCTCTTATTCTTATGTGTATGGAAAGCTCTTATATATGACCAACACACAAAATGACTGCGAGCAGGCGCGATATCAGCTGCTGAGACGTCATAACCCTGTGACCTTGACCCGATGGGGGGGAAACATCGACAGGTTACGACCTTCTGACTTCTCCCACACCACACAGTTACGGTACACATATATGTACTTCCAGTTTTGTTCAGGTTCTGAATGCCTTGTGGAACTCCACACTAATAATTGTGTCACAGTCACAGTACTCTGCGATCTCCCAGCATAGAGCTCAGCAGCCCGGGACAGATCTGTGGGAGTGAGACAAAAGAAGCGCATCACTACATCAGATCAGAAAGAAAGTTAGACCCTTAGACCCACCAACTTAAACAGATAGAAAAGATGAAAGTGTCAGAAAGTTTGAAAGACATTTCAACTTGGCGGACAGGTTAGAGGAGGTGGGGGAGTTGAAAAGTCTTCCAAGACTCTCCAACTTGACTTGACCAACTGGGAGGGGTGAGGAGGGGGGGGGGAGGCAGAAAGTCTGCAGGACCCTCCAACTTACAGGTTGGGTTGGGTTGGGAGGAAGATATGGTGTCAGTTGAAAGTCCAGAAAGGAGCCCCATTCATCAAACTCACCTTAATTATTGAATTATCGTAAAACCCAGACTAGCTCCACACTTCGGTCTGGTTCACATTTATGTATAACCACAATGGTTTACTACTCACTCACTACATGGACATCCATTTCATCTTGCACAGGTAAGTTTTTTAAAACTGAAGCTCTTTTAAAAAAAATTTCAACAACATGGAGCACTGCCCTAATTGAATTTCTGGGTTCAGGCTTATCTGAATGAAAATGTGCCTCAGCGGTGGATTGGAAGGAGAAGTGCTAAAGACCTCGCTCTCTGCACTTGGCCTGCCAGATTCCTGGACTTCACTGTGTGTGACTTTTTCTTGTGCGGGTATGTTAAAGAAAAGGTTATGTTCCACCACTTCCAGCAAATATCCATGACATGAAGTAATGAATAACAGCTACAATCAACACAGTGGACCGAGACATCCCCAGGCGCATTTGGGAGGAATTCTCATATCGGCTTGATGTTGTCCGTGATGCCGGTGGTGGCTACATTGAGCACTCCTAATACATGAAATAAAAACTTGAAGGCATGTACAACACATGTCTCCAAGTTAGAGTTTTATACTATTTTTTGTTTTTGGAATATCGCATGATGATTTTGGAGTGTATTCTTTTTTAATCACCCTGTATTATGCATATAGTTATGCAGTCATAGAGTCATACACATACTTCTGTAATTATGACCCAGAATAATACAGTTCTATGTCAGATACACTCGCTCACTTTTGAGATTTTTCAGCACTAAGATTTCACACACTATATCTAACTCAAATTAAGAACTAAATAAACATGGTTTTACCCAAGAAAAGAAAGGAAAAGGGGTTCTACCTGCCACACTACATAGAAGGAGTACAGAGAAGGCCCAAGACACTCCAAACTCTATAAATTTTGAGTTAGAACCCTGGTCTTCTTGAGAACACAAATAGTGTATACAAATACAGTCCACGCTATTCTGTAAGCTCACCTCTCAAAGCCTCCAATGGCTTCTGTGACTCGATATCGTAGCATGAAGTTGGCCAGGATTTCAGCCACCTGACAAGAAAAAAACACAGTGTGATGTACCATACACCAAGTACACCATGTATCTTACTTCAAGAGACCATACACTGAACATTATATACCATACATCAAGTACACCATATATAGCGTACATCATATACAATACATCAAGTACATCATATGCCTGACCTCAGAGAAATTCGCGCCCGCAACCTGCAAGTTGCACGCGCAACTTTTGCCTTCAGCGCAACTTTTGCGCAACTTTTGCGCAACTTTTACCATTATCGTGAATTCACGAATTTTAGCCAATTTTCCGCAAAATTAGAGAAAATAATAATAAAATGTCATTAAAATCACCGAAATTTTCTTCCACGACTAAAAATAACGACGCCAAGGGGGACAATTCGCTCCTTTGCACTACGGGGCTACGGGGTGCCCGCCGCCGCTCAGTGACCCGGGCTGGGTCAGATCGGGTCGGGATGATCGCCTGACTCGTCGCCTGAAAACAACGTGTTTGTTTTGAAACGAGTCGGGCGCGATCGACTTGTGCCACGATAGCCGCTTTAAACCATCAATGTGGCGAGCAAACGGACCCAATAGTCTTGTTTGGACTGAATCATCTTCTAGTCTACCTAGTTCTAGATCTAGAATTATCTAGAGTAAATCTATTGTAAACACGGTCGGATTACTTAGCTTGCTTCATTCCGTAGCACCAGGTAGATAGATCTAAATCTAGTATAAAAATTTGTGAAATACTTTAAATCTTAGGCTAGGAGGCTAGATCTAGACATGGATCGATTCGTCCAGAAGACAATCAAATAATATCATCTTACGCCTGTAAAAGTAAAGTGTAAGAAAAAAAAAGGGGGGGGTTGGACCAATGTAAGATTACAGTATTACACGTTTGCAACGTAGAAAAATAATCAAGGAAAATATAATTTATGACAACGTAAGTTTTTTTTTTGTATTAATAACATAAAAAGAGAGTAACTACACTATTCACTTGTAGTAAGTTCGAGCGGTAATTAAGCACTGCATTGTGGCGACACAGTGGACCTCGAGCGGCAAGCACGATATATATAATATGTCATCTCGCACTTTATACACTGGTAGATATCTGGGCTACATGACATGTAGATCTAGTCTAATTTTGATTACACCGGTGCAGTTAGTTAAAGTGGTAAAATGACACCGTAAGTTTTTCTGGAAAAGTTACGCTTGTACCGTATTTAATTATTATGTCACATGTGTGTGTGCATGTTTTTCATGAATACTATAATTAATAATGTAAAAGTAAAGCGCATAGAAGAATGATTGTAACAC